GGACAAAGAATAATTTTCAAAGGTCAATTTGCAAAGTAGGAAGGATCTAAAGTAAGGTAGTGTAATGCATGGTGGCATTATACAGGTGACAGACACAAGTTAATTGTGCAGCTCTGGTGTGTTAGGTTTTGTTTTTTCGCCTTATTTTATGTTTTATCTTATTATTATACCCTAGAATTGTGTTTGTTTTCTAATGAGAGACAGAAAGGGTGTGGATCCATATGGAGGGATAGTGAAGAGGAAATGGGAGGAGCAGAGGGAGCAGAAACTTATAACCAGAATATAGTGTATGTCAAAAATCAGTTTTTTCATTTCTTTATTTAAATTAGAAACATGCTTGCTTCACATGTCAATCCCAGCTCCCTATCCCTCCCCTCCTCCCCCACCTCCTCACTAATCACCCCAGTCACTCCAATCCCCATTCCACAACCCAGGGGCAAGAGGCCCTACATGGGGAATGTCTGGAGACTGTCATTTCATTCAGGGCACGGCCTAGGTCCTCCCCCAAGAGTCCAGGCTGAGAGAGCATCCCTCATTGTGGGATGGGCACCCAGAGTCCATTTGTGTGCCAGGAATAAATACTGATTTACTACTCAAGGCCCCATAGATTGCCTAGGCCTCCTCACTGACACCCACATTCAGGAGGTCTGGATCAGTCCCATGCTGGTCTCTCAGCCATCAGTCAGGGGTCCAAGAGCTCCCCCGTGTTCAGGGGGTTTCACCAACCCAGTCTTGAGCCCTTTTCTCATCACTCCTCCCTCTCTGCCATTGGGTTCCAGGAGTTCAGTTCAGTGTTTAGCTGTGAGTGTCTGCCTCTGCTTCCATTAGCTACTGGATGGAGATTCTAGGATGGCATATAAGATAGTGGTCAAGCTCACTATCAGGGAAGGGCATTTATGGTACCCTCCCCACTATTGCTAAAATTGACAGTTGGTGTCATCCTTGTAGATCTCTGGAAATCTCACTAGTGCCAGATCTCTCCTCAAACCTATAATGACTCCCTCTATTGTGGTATCTCTCATCCTGCTCTCCTCTATTCTTCCCCCGACTCAACCTTCCTGCTCCCCCATGTCCTCCTCTCCCCATCTATTTTTTTCCAGATTCCCTCTCCCCTCCCAGCATGCTCCAAATCTGCTCAGGAGATCTTACCCCATTCCCTTTCTCTGGGATACCATGCATATCTCTCTTAGGATCTTTCCTGTTTCCCAGACTGTCTGGCAGAGGGATTGTAGTCTGGCACTCCCCTGATCCATGTCTAAAATACATAAATGAGTGGGTACATACCATGTTTGTCTTTTTGTGACTGGGTTACCAACAGCCAAAGGAAAAAAAAGGTGTGGGAATCGACACACAATTCCACCAACAACAGCCATTCCAAAACAAACAAGAACGAGCAATCAATGGTCATTAATATCCCTCAATATTAAAGATCTTAACTCGCCCATAAAAAGACACAGGCTAGCAGCATGGATTCAAAGATAGAATCCATCCTTTTGCTGCATACAAGAAACACACCTCAGCTTCAAACACAGACATTGCCTCAGAGTTAATGATTGGGAAAAGATTTTCCATTCAAATGAACCCAAAAGCTGGTATAGCAATCCTAATATCTAACAAATTAGACTTTAATCAAAAGAGATGAAAAGGGTCATCTCATACTCATAATAGGAGAAATTCACTAAGATGAAGTCGTAATTCTGAACTTCTATGCCCCAAATACAAAGGTATCCATGTTCATAAAAGAAACATTACTAAAACTAAAATCATACATCAAACCTCACACACTTATAGTGGGAGACTTCTGTACCCCACTCTCACCACTAGACAGGACTACCAGACAGAAACCTAACAAAGAAACAAAGGAACTAATAGAAGTTATGACCCAACTGGATTGAACAGACATCTATAGAACATTGCATCCAAACACAAAAAAATATACCTTCTTCTCAGCGCCACATGGAACATTCTTAAAAATCAACCACATACTTGACAACATAGCAAACATTAACAGGTACAAAAAAACTTGGAATAATTCCATGAATCTTATCAGACCACCAAGCTTTTAACTTAGAATTCAACAATAACACAAATTGCAAAAACTCTACGAACTCATGGAAATCTAATAATGTGCAATTGTACCATTCCTGGGTCAAGGAAGGAATAAATAAAGAAATTACAGGCTTCCTAGAATTCAATGAGAATGAAGACACACATACCCAAACTTATAGAACACTTTGAAAGCAGTGCTAAAAGGAAAATTCATAGCACTAAGGGTCCACATGAAGAAACTAGAGAATAGTCACACTAGAGAATTAGCAGCACAACTGAAGCTCTAGAACAAAAAGAAGAAAACACACCCGGGAGGAGTAGATACCAGGAAATTATCATATTGAGGGCTGAAATCAATAAAGTAGAAACCAGAAAAAAATACAAAGAATCAATGTAACAAAGAGTTGGTTCTTTGAGAAAATCAACAAGATAGACAAATCTTTATCCAAACTTGCCAAACAGCAGAGTGTGAGCATGCAAACTAACAAAATTAGAAATGAAAAGGGGGACAACAGGAACATAACGACGGACACTGAGTAAATCCAGAGAACTATCAAGCCATACTTTGAAAACCTGTACTCCACAAAATCTGAAAATTTAAAGGAAATAGACAATTTTCTGGGTAGATATCACTTGCTAAAATTAAATCAAGAACATATGCAAAAATACTCAATAAAATAATGGCAAGTCAGATCCAAAAACACATCAGAAAAGTCATCCACCATGATCAAGTAGGTTTCATAATGGGGAGAATTGGATCATGGGGAATGATTAGCATCTAATCATTAATTAAGGTACTTTTATTTGATTGTGTGATACATGCACATGAGTGTGCAAGTGTGTGCACTACATGCACATATGCAGGGGTCAGAAGAAGACCTCATGTCTCCTCTGCTATTGCTTCCTGCTTTTTTGTCCTGAGGCAGGGTCTCTCACTGAACTACAAGCTCAGCATTTGAACTGGTCTGTGTGGCCATCATGCTTTCAAGATTTTTCTGTCTCTTCCTCCCTCTAGAATGTTGTGGTCACAGGCACATATAGTCATTCCTGGCTTTGTAAGTGGGTGCTAGGGATCCTTAATTAGGTCCCTATGCTTGGATATCAAGCACTCTTATATACTGAGCTATCTTCCTAGCTTAAATGAAATTTCTACAATCAATAAAGGAATGATTTCTTGGTTTCCAACAAAGAACAGCTATTTGACTACAGTTATTGTCCTACTGTAGGAGTCACCCATTTGTAATCTTCCCAAATATATAAGCATCCTCTCTTATATCTTTGATTATCTGGTAAAATTCTGAGAGATGTGAAAGTCTATTTACTAACATGATTCTTGTTGCCATAAAACATTAAAGAAGTTTATAGTTCTTTATACATGAACTCTGTCTCCCAGTAAGCAATGACATAGGAATGGCTACTTTTAATTTTCAACTTGAGCCAATCTACAATCACCTTAGGAGAGAGTCTTAACGATATCTTGGTCAGATTAGCCTGTCTATATTCATGCGGATTGTCTTGATTAGAGGCATTAACCAATGAGGGAAGACCCAGTCCACTGTGAGTGACACCATTCCCTATGTGCCTGAGTAATCACACATGTGCTCATTCTCTTTCAGTTCTTGACTGTTGACAGAAGTTTCTGTCCCAACAAGTCCTGCAGCCATTCAGATTCAAATAAACACTCAAAGGCTTATACTAATTATGAACTGTTGGATCTATTGCTCAGGTTTCTTATTGGCTATCTCTCTCTTAATAACCTATTTCTATTAATCTATGTATCTCCACATGGTCTTGGCTTACCAGTGATGCCCGGGTCTCTTGCTTCCTTGGCAGCTACATGCCATCTCCCTGACTCCACCTACCACCTTTCTCTATCCCTGTTTTGATTTCCTGCCTGGCTAAATCCTGCCTGGTCATTGGCTGAAACAGCTTTATTCATCATATAGTCACAGCATACAGAAGTGATGAGGGATGTCCTTCTGCATATAAGTTTCTCTTGTTGATTGATGAATAAAACACTGTTTGGCCAATAGAAGCAGAAAGATAGGCAGGGCTAGGAGACAAGGAGAATTCTGGGAAAGGTAGGCAGAGAGGCACCGGAAGGGACGCCATGTAGAGACTGGGAGGATAAGATATGCCAGGTGTTCTCTGATAAGATAAAGCCATGTAGAAATACATAGACACTGGGGTAAGTGCTTGCTAATCATCACTACAGTTCCGGAAACAAAGCAAAGCAGCCTGATTATGTAAGTTTAAACTTTTTCTTTTCATTTTAGTATGTGCTGGCAAGGAGGGTGTGCATGAATGTGTATGATGTTTGCATGCGTCTGAGTGGTGGTATGTGAGGACCGGGTACATGTGGACACCTGAGGTTGGTGTCGGGGATCATCCTTGACTGCTCTTGCACTGTATTCCCTGAGGGAGGCTCTTTCAATCAAAACCAAAACTCACCACGATGGCCAGCATTTCTAGGCAGCTTTCTCTAGGGATCTCCTGTCTCTATTTTCCAGTCACATAATTACACACAGGCATCTATGCTCACATTAAAATAAACACGAAGTTCAACGGGAATAACTACATGTATGGGGACATGTAAAACCATTACCATTAGTCAATAGCATCTTGGCTGCTTCTGTTTCCTGGCTATTGTGAGTAGACATCAGCAATGGACATGAGTGGTTAGATACCTCTGTAGTACGATATAGAGACCTTTGTGTAGATCTCAGCAGTACCATAGCCGGATGGTGATATTTTTGTTAAAGGCATCAAACAGATTGGTCATGCTGAGAATGGACCAATTCTTTCTACTCTGTGCTTCTAAAGTGCCTCATCTCCCTGAAAACCCTGGAACTGGTCCATTTCATCCTATGTTTAATTCTCAGCCTCCTTCCTGTCGCTCATCTGGTGACAGTCACCACTTCTCTTTTTCTCTTCCTGGTTGAGAATGGGTCAGAGGGGTGAGGAAAGGGAGTGGCAAAGAGAAACCGTGCTCCCGAGAATTTCCACACGGTGGACAGCAGTGACCATGGGCGACTCCAAGGAAGAGAGGGAGAAACATCTGTGCCCCTTGGGTGAGGCTGAGCAGGATTCAGGGAGCTCAGGGGAGAGTGGAGAGGGGCAACTCAGGTCTCAGCCTGCCCAGGCTCTGACAGATGATACAACGTTCAGTGATGGGGCTTGTGACCAGGAGCACCAGCTATTCCTAAGAAGCTTTGGACCACAGCCTCCCCATGGCTTCAAGAGTTTGTGAAGTAGACAAGGCTTTAGGAGGTGCTGAGGAGAGGACAGAACATGCAGTCTTCAGTCCTGGGGGCAGGGAGACTGGGTTTGTGGATTCCTGGGTCCTGGGATGATTGGGAAGCAGGTCTATATTCTCATGTCTGGGGAACAGAGGGTGTGAAGTTGGAAAGCTGGGTCTTGAGGAGATGAACACTTGAGGGCTTGAGTCCTGGACTCTGCAGAGGTGGAGGCTGGGGTCTAGAGTCCTGAGTCCTAAGAACACTGATTCTGTAAACCTGGAATCCTGGGACCTGTGAAGGTAGAGCTGATGGTCTAGACTCTTATGTCCTGAAGAAGTGAGGGCTGGAGGCCGCACTGCTAATTTCTTAAGAGGAGGGGGAATACTTCATTCCTGGGTCTTAGAGAGGTGAAGGGCAAGTCTGACCTCCTGTGTCCTGGGGAAGTGGAGTCTAGGAGGTGGATCACCGTGTAGGTGAGGTGCATGCTGGGAAACAGGAATTCTCAATCCTGTGGGGCAAGCAAGAGTACTAAATGGCCCAATCATAAGACGCACAGCTGGGGTCTGGAGCCCTGACTGTGTGGAAGTGGCACCTGGAAACTGATCTCCTGGTTCATGGAGTGGTAGGGACTGAGGATCTTCGCTATTATTGCCTGAGAGTTCGAACCTGGAGGGTTGAACTGCAGGGCCCTGGGATAGCTGAGACGGGCAACAGACTGCTGATGCTCATGCGGCAGACGAGGGACAGAAAGACGCAGGCAGCGGGAGGATGATGACTGAGAGTCCATCATTTGTGTTCGGAGAGGGACAGTGGGGCTGGGCCGTCCTGGCTTCCGGGTGTGGTAGGGACAGTGGCCTGCTGGGCACTCCACCTTCTCTCCCCAGGGTGTCAGGACCATGATGGCTTCATCACTGCACTGCGGCTCCTCTCCCTTGTGCTCTTGGCTGCTCTCCTCGTGGCTGTCCTCGTCAAAGGTCAGAAACTTCAAGGTTGGGGCTTCTTGCTCTAACCTTTCAGCTTGGGTGTGGAGGTGACACTGAAGTTGTGACGGTGATCTTCCATGCCTTCTGGGAACTAGTCACGGTCTTCTCAAGACTCCTGTGCGGCAGGAAGGAAGTAGTTTCAGGGGCATGGTCTGACTCCATTTTTCCTGTGGTTAGAGCTTCCTGAGTACCAGGATTCCTCATCTTCAAAGGAGACAAATTCAAATAAGATGCTGGGACTTGGATATGATGCTCCTGTGGGCCCAACACATGGTAGTTAGACCATGGTCTGCTCTGCTCTGCCATTAAATGTTATTTGAGAATTTCACACATGAATATAATATTTCGATCAAGTCCACTACCTCCTCCCTGCCTGCACTCCAGGTCCTCCCTTGTCCCCCATCACTTTTCCCTCCCAACTTCCTGTGCTCCTTCATTTTTATAATTCACTGAACCCACTTCCTGCTATCCATACACATGGGTGCGAGATCAACCTCTGTATTATGAGTAGTCTCATGGCTGAAGAGAACTGACTGTCCTTCCCACAGCAGCCATCAGTTGCTGACAGTTACTCACCTAGAGTTGGGGATTCATCTCCATCTATTTGTGGATGGTTTCTGGTTTAGCATGTGTAGGTTGGAGCTGCAGGCACAGCACTCTTTGTCCATGTGAGCAGCATGCCTGTCAGGTCCAGAGAACACAGTTTGCAGCAGTCCTCTACTCCCCCTGCCTATTACAGGCTTCCTGCTTCCTCCCATGATGATTCCCGAGCTTCTGGGGAGGGTTTGTGTTAGAGATGTCCTGTGTGCGATGCGATCTCCATAGGATCTTATTCTTTCACACTGAGCCATGGAGTCTCTATGTGGATCACAATTACTGGCAGGAGCTCCCCTGGCAAGTGTTGAAAACTTCTGGTTGCTCTAAAGGCTGGATCCCACAGCCTGGAGCAATCAGACCTAACTCCCAGCAGCTCTCCTTCTCCAGGTCAAAAAGATGAAAAGCATGTGTGTGTGGCTTATAGCTTCCAGGGTCTGGTACCCGGCTGCTCTGTGCTCTGTCACCTATGCCAGGCTGAACAAATCACGTGGTGAAACTTCCTGTGACTCCCTGAAAAGTCAGGTGTTTCCAGTGCTTGGGAAATTTCTCTGAAGGCTGCTGTGATCTTTCCCTCTTTCCCCGTCATCCTGCGGTGAAGTCTGTCTCACTCTTACTTGAGTCTCTCTCACTCTTACTTGAAGCTCTTTCCAGGTGTTAAAGGGAAGCCTCTCTTTTGCTTCAAGGAACTGTTACAATGTTTGTCATTTAGTGATGTGTTTTTTTCTAATGCTCTCCAACCTAGAGGCCTGGTTACAGGCTTGAAGTCCTTCCAACAGAGGTAATACCTGAAGGGGACTTTGTGTCAACTGCTCTCCTGAACCAATGGCTTCCTTTCTTCCTACATGTATCAACACTTAATGTTTCTGTCTTCACTTTCTTGACTTAGGCTCTAAGGTTCCCAGTTCCCAGGAGCAGGAGAAGGAAAAACAACGTATCCACCAGGACCTGGACCAGCTGAAGGCTGGACTAGGTAAGTGACCACAGGATGGATCTCCATAACGTGAAAAGGTTTCTCTACCTGTGGAGTGGGAACACAGGGTAACATTGACGTTGGCACTCACTAGACAAGCATGTGGACCCAAGTTCGGGTCCCTCACACCCACATAGAAGCTGTGCATGGCCACACATGCCTGTGACTCAGGGATATTGGGCAGGCAGGAAGATTCCAGGGCTCTCTTGATATCTGACCAAAACAGGGAGCTCCATGTTCAGTAAGAGAACTGGTCTCAAAGGTATGACAGGAAAGAAAGAAAGAGAGAAAGAGACAGAAAGGCAGAAATATAGAAAGAAAGCAAGAAAGTAAGAGAGAGGGAAAGGAAGGAAAGAAGGGAGAAAGAAAGAAAAAAGAAAGGAAGGAAAAAAGAAGAGGGAAAGACGGAGGAAGGAAGGAGAGACGCTGGCTGGCAGCTAGTTGGACTCAGTGAACTAAAACAACAGTGCATGAAGTCAGCAGGGATATGTGGCTGGGTGATTCTGATAGGAGGCTGAAGGGAGGGAATGGGTGGGCTTGATGAAAAGATTTTGACTGCATATAGATAGGCATGCAATAACAGTTTTTAAGGTCATAAATTCCAAGAAGAGTGGAGAGTGACTCATTGGAAGGTTTGGAGGGATGAAACAGAAGGGAGAAATATTCTAATTGAATTATATAATTTAAAAAGCAATACAGAAAAGATAATGTCTGTATGTATTACACGTGCAAAAATAAATATATAATATGTGTTTTTATTGAAATTTTTAGCTAAGCTACAGTTACATAATTTCTATCCCTTGTTTGTAACCCCTCCCATCCATCCTTCTTTCTGAAACTGATGGTCTTTTTCTTTCATATATATATATATATATATATATATATATATATATGGTCTTTTAAAAAATAGAGCAATGAAAGATTTCCAACATCCACTCCGGCCTCCACTTTCACATACACAGAACAATGCACTCACACACGTGCACATGCTTGAATACAACACACATAACAAAAGATAGAGGAACATGGACCCCTATATGCAGTTTCAATTGAGGTTGCCAGCTCTCTGGGACCTGAAGGCTGATACATGTATACCTTTATGTGTCCAACTTGAACCCCATTCCCCCAACAGACCGCCTGTGCCGCCCCTGCCCCTGGGACTGGACCCTCTTCCAAGGAAACTGTTACTTCTTCTCCACATTCCAACAGACCTGGAAGGACTCTGTCACTGCCTGCAAGGAAGTAGGTGCCCAACTCGTTGTCATCAAGAGTGATGAGGAGCAGGTATGCTGAGTTGGGGCTTTGCACTTGTGAGGGCATGGACCTGGCTGGATTAAATTTTTCCAGATCAGTATTCTTTAGTACACATGAAAAGTGGAGAGAGCACAGCTCTGGATAGGGAGGGGCTGGTTCCAGAGTGTGCACCCGATAAATACAAAGTGGTACCTTGGACGCACACTCTAGGGAACGCCTAATATGAAGGGGGCACATGCTGGCCAGTTTAACAAGTACTTTCATTGGTGTTCAAAGTCCCGATCTGGGGCCTGTGAGGTGACTCAGTGAGCAAAAATGCATTTTACCAAGCACAGGGATCTGAATTGAATCTCTGAGACCTACATGATAGAAACAGAACCAACTCCTACAAGTTATCCCCTAACCTACCTACATACCTTAACATGTGCGCATGCACACACACACACACACACACACACACACACACACACACACACACACACACACGGGAGGTGGGGGGGGGGAGAGAGAGAGAGATATGAAGTTTATTACTCTGAAGAGGCAATCCCTAGAGAAATGTTTACAGCCTAGAAAACACCAGACTTTTATAAGTTTAGGAATTTGCTAGCAAATTTCACATCACATTATTTAATTTAACAAACATATGAGACAAAAAGGAGCCAGAGGCCAAAAATTATTATCTGTCAAGTCACAACACCCACTGTTTCTAAATTATCTGTCTCAGAGAGAGCTTTGTGAGGTCTGGCCTGATCTTCATATCTGTGCTCCTGAATGCATGTGTGTAAAGCGTGTGTGGGGTGTCTTAGCACACGTGTGGGTTTGCTGTAGCACTAGAGAGCTGAGGGTCTGACTGCAAGCGGAACTATGGGCCTAGATACTGGGAGGACAGACATAGAGAATGACAGCAGAGCCCCGTCATGGCTTCTCCTTTCTCCTCCAGAGCTTCCTGCAGCAGACTTCTAAGAAGAAAGGCAATACCTGGATGGGGCTGTCGGACTTAAAACAGGAAGGCACATGGCTGTGGGTGGATGGTTCACCGCTAAAATGGGGGTAATACAGCATTCTGGGGGTGAAACTATTTCCCAAGACACACTTGTGGCTGCTACCTGCTCCTTGGTCTGCTAGGCAGACAGTCTGCTTGTTGGGATACATGTTGAGTTGAGTTCAGATGTGAGTTAGCAGTTCCACCACCTGATCTGCAGGAGGAGTTAGCAGCGTGGTTGATATTGGAGGCGTTTTTCCCTACGGTGAGGAGTCAATGACCCTCCCAACACCTCCTAATAGGAAATGCAAACTGTCCACAAGGCCAGTCGAGATGGGTTTTACAAGCAGAGACACCCCATCCCATGAAATGGAGATTGTTTTTGCTTAAAAGGTTCAGTTCTGAGGCAACCAATGATGCAACGCAGAGTACTTAGAGAACCTGAAAGGCGGGGGTATGGTTGCCTTCAAAACACAGCTGGTCACACTTAAAGACACAAGATACTGTGGCAGATACAAAGGAATTAATTGTCCATACCATGGCAAACATGAAAAAGAAACAGTTGAAAGGACGAAGGTCCAAGCCTTTCTTTTGATGTCCATGGAAGAAACAGGGACAGTTGTAAACCAGGCTACTCTGGAATGTCGGTGTGCAGCAAGATGTCACAATGTTGCATTTCCAGTATGAGGCCTGCTTAGAGATCATCAGACAATCATAGATAAGCAGGAGGCTCTGGGCCCCTGATTTCCCCAGCTGGTGCTGGCTTGTCAGGATATCTCAGTTTACATTAGGGTTAGAAGGTTACAGAGAAGCTGCTATGTGAAGAGCCCATGTATCAGGGGTGGTGGGGTTGGAATCTCTAGACCAGGCTTTGAGTCCTGGCTCAATAGGATGGAAATTTGGAAAGGAGGCTAAGCTAAATTGTTCCTTGCTGAACAACTTAGCCAATGAGGAATAAAGGGGGACAGAAAAATTCAGCAAGGAATGTAAAAACCACTGCTCTGCATCAAATCTGCATGGCAGCCATTTTTTGTCTCTTTTCCAGGCTGCCACCTGATTCTGCAAAATCAAAAATAAAACTGCCTCCCTTTCACAATTTGAAGTCTCTCGAATTCCAAATTGTAGAATAAGGAGTCTCACAGAAATAACTTAGGCATGCCACCAGGTTCTGGGTGAGGTATGGCTGCCTCATGCACATGGGGTAGATGGGAAAGCATCCTAGTGCCAGCAGTTAGAAATATTGACAGCATAGGGCTGGGACAGAAGCTCATGTTATTTGGGGGTTTTCAATTTCAGGAAATATTGGTCTCCGAGGGAGCCAAATAACCTGGGTAACGAAGACTGCACAGGCTTTTCAGATAATGGATGGAATGATAACTTATGTTCCTTAGAGCAATTCTGGATCTGCAAGAAGCCTGCATCTCCTTGCCCTAGGTGAAATCTGTCCTCCTCGTGGCCATTGTTTGTTGAACATATTTATCACTTAGTCAAAGCTCAAGTGCATTCATTTCCGTTCCTTCTGCCTTTCTGTAGGCATTGGGCTTCCAACAACAGCCCTGGCTCCACTTTGCAAACACCTTGTCCCCAAAGGCTTGGACCACTGTCCGCCCGCTCCTGTGCCTGCAGTTTGCTTTGCTTGAGGTTGTTGTTTGGAACCATATTTTCAACTTTCTTCCTGGATAAAGTACTGCATGGATCACCCTTTGTGGTAGTTTGACTGAGCCTGTTCCCCAGAGGTTTGAGAGTCAAACCCTTGTTCTCCAGTAGGTGGTGCTGTTTGACGAGTCTATGGAATCTTTAGCAGCTGGACCCTTGCTAGAGAGACCATCAGTAGGGATGGGTTTTGGAGTTTATATTCTCACCTCACTTGCTGTTCTCACTGTGTCCTGTGTGCAGATGATAGTATGTTCAGCCAGCTTCCTGTTCCTGTGACATGATTTCCCTTTCCCTGCCTCTTATTATGCCTCTGCAAACACTGTGAACCCTATCTCTTTTGGAACCATAAGACAAAATAAACCCTTCCATCCCTATATAGTTTTCTGTCTGGGTATTTTATCATAGCAACAAAAAGAATGTCAATCAGATCCAATGGTTAAGAGACGAGAATTGGTACCAAGAAGTCAGGTGTTTTGAACATTTGCCATCGTGGAACAGGAAGCGCTATCACCACCTGAGGTTCATCTTGGGGAGCCCAAGTATGCTAATGTATTTCATTGGGAGAGGAAAGAAGTACAGGGAGAGCATAAGCAGTAAGGCTATCTGATGAGTGAACCTTTCTTATCTACAGCATATGTCTCCATTACCATCCTAACCGGAGCGTTGAAGATTACCCTGACCTATGTACCAAGTTGCTTTAGTTGTCTCATAACTTCTCAGAAAGTTGAACCTGGCAGGTACTTATAAGCTTCTCATAGGTGATATCTAGGAATAGACTAGGGAGGGCATTAGGAAGGTATTCTTACAATGAATAGCAGAGAATTCAGAAGCTGATGACTGCCCAAGATGTTAGGAATAAGTGATAGCTGTGGGCTCATCCCTAAGAATATATATGGCCATCACTCTCTAAGGCTCAGGGAACATTTCAGAAGAGGGTACAGAAAATATGTAAGAGACAGTGGGTGTGGCAAATGGCTACACAGTGTCATTCTCTAGAATCCATACAACTATTGTAATCATTAACTCACAACAGCAGTTCCTACACTGGACCCATGCAAGACTTGCCCTATCAGTCAATTAATGGCCAGGTGCTAATAGGGAACTATCCATTATCTCAGAACAGCCATTATAGATTCTGATAGAGAAAAATCATTGTCTCTGGTTGTGTTCCCACTGCTGAGCCCACCAGGTACCATGGAGAACACCAGACCCAGTGTCACACACATGATCCTGACTAAATTCAGGAGGTCACAAACACAAACAGATATGGGCATGAATGAGATTTGTGGGAGGGTAGGGAGTAGACAGAGGTGGTAGGGACATAGAAGAGACTGAGAATGAGAGGGGACAGTATGCACTTTATACATGTGGGGGATTGCTTGAGAGCAAATTTAATTAACAGTTGCAAAAGAAAACCACCAGGGACTTGAGAGATGACTCAGTGGTTAAGAGTTAAGTGGTTAAGTGGTTAAGAGCTCTCATTCCTCTTGAAGGGGGCCTAGGATCTGTTGCAAGCACTCATATTGGGTGGCCCCAAGTAACCTGTGACTCCAGTGGCAGGAGATTTAACACCTCCTCTGATGGCTGCAGGCATCTGTGTGCTTGTGGTGCTCATAAATTCAAGTTGGCACACATGCTTACACATGAATAGGAAGGGAGGTGGGAGGAAGCCTCCGGATGTTTTAGGCTCTGAAGGTCTGGAGAGGGATTATTTAGTAGTGAGCCTCTTAACCACTTAGGCCTTGAGTTAATGTCACATTAGGAATAAAATGCCCAGGAGCCTTTTGGTTTCTCTTTCAGATGACTTGACTCCCCTTGGTTCACAGTCTCCTGTGGTTCTCTGTGTTCAGAAATCCCACTGCCCCTGGTAAGAGGCTCTACCTGGGGACCAGTGTCCCCAGAATTCCTGTTGTACAGTATAAAAAATGTCCACTGATCCTCATGGGACACCAATGACAAGCTGAAGGAGACAGCTCCACAAAAGTGTAATTGGGAATCAGTAAGTTGCTTGGTCTTAGCGTGGGTAAAGGGTTGTCCACAGAAGTGTGGGCCATCTTAAAAGCAGCTGAACCACTGGGAAGTCTCACCCCATCATGGCTGATGGCTTCCCCACCGCTGCATAGACAGACTTCTCTCTTCAGCTAATCGTCTACTGTCTAGCATCTGCTGACGCCTCGAGACCGCATGCAGATAGGACAGCAGAACTTGCACTTGCCCCAGATGTGTGTTAGAAGCTCATGAATCCCAGGTGTGAGCGAGCCAATGGACTTGAACCTGAGGGTCTCTTTAAGTAGTCACACCTGTTTGATAAAGATAGCAGTTGTTATCCTCCGAGAATGCCATCATAGAACATCCAGGAATCGATTCCTGTGCGGATAGCAGATCATCTACCATGCTTATGGAGACTAAATAAACAAGAGTATATATGTATAGCAAAACCCCCAATGTCTGACAACAGCAGTGACTCCCTAGTTTATTTCTACTGATGCGATAAAAATTGCTCAAGAAAGGCAACCAGCCAGGGATAGACCTGAGCGCATGCCAGAGATCTGCACACACTTCATGAAGCACTCATAACCAGAGTCTGATTACATCTATCAAGAGATTAAAAGATTTAAAAATAGGTTCTCATGTGGGAGCACATGTATGTTTATGTATGCATGCGTGTGTGTGTATGTGTGTGTGTGTGTGTATCACTTCATCACAAAGAGGATTGAAATTATGTACTTTTCAGAAATTTAAGTTGGAGGTGGATATCATCATGTTAAAGAGATCATTGCATAATAGCGGAGAAATAGAAAAAGTAGAAATGACACAGTCTAGGCTGGCTGAAGCTATTATATGATGGCGAAATGGAGAGAAAGAGAGGGGGAACAGCTTTTGTGATGTGGTAGGAGTCAGTTCTGAAGAAGGGAGGGAAGAGAGGAATGGCTGACATGGGTTGTCTGCTTTATACACATATGTGCAGAAAGAAACACAATTTCCTCTCTACTATTGAACACACAACACAGTCTTCTTAAGAGGATATGCATCATTCAGCAAGATTGGCCATATTAAGTGACATAAAATATGTCTATACATTTAAGGCCATGGCAGAGAGTTTGCTGATGCCCTCACAGGAACCAGAATGGAGAAGTATTATTTGGGCCTCTCTAGAGGACCAGAAGCAACAGAATGATTTCTTAGATTGGCTTACACGGTGGGCATGGGTAGTCAAACACTGGCCATCTCACAAGGGAGTGACCGACAACCCCAGAGATACTCAGTTGGTAAGCCTGGGTGTCTCATCTGTCCGTGCCTGGTACCAAAGGCCTGGAAGATCCTTGGAAAGTCACTGGTTTTTAGTTCACTTTGAAGACTGAAAAAGATGGTTCAGTAAAGGAGTCAACAGAAGCAGCAACAGGGTTGTAAATGCCAATCGAGAATAAAGGGGGGAGGAAGGAATTTCCTTCTTCCATGTCCTTTTACCTACCATGATTTGGAGGGAAGGAGAGAGAGAGAGAACCAAAATCCATGTATGTCCCCAATGACCTACTTCCTCAAATGGGTTTAAGTCCCAAATAATATATTCCAGTATGATCACATCAGTGGATGAACCTAATGAAGGTAAAAACCTCATAATTCCCCCCACTTGAGCACTGTGCTGCACTTAGGACTGCAAAGGATAGTTTTAATAGTCAAATTGACCCATTCTAGAATTCCATAGGAAGAGTCTCAATGAAGGACTGTCATGATCAAATTATTCTTTTTTAATTATTTTTATTTAAATTAAAAGCAATGTTATTTTACATACTGATTCCAGTTCCCTCTCCCTCCTGTTGTCCCATTATCCCCACAACCCCCATCCCACCCCCATACACTCTTCAGGGTGAGGCCTCCCATGGGGGAATCATCAAAGTTCGTCATTTGGGACAGGACCTAGACCCTCCCCTATGTATCTAGGCTGAGAGAGTAACCCTCCATAGGGAATGGGCTCCTAAAGTTCATTTGTGCACTAGCAATAAATATTGGTTCCACTGCCAGAGGCCCCATAGCCTGCCCAAGCCCCCGAATTGACACCCACATTCCGGGGACCTGGTTCAGTCCTATGCTGGTTCCCTAGGTGTCATATTGGGGTCTGTGAGTTTCTGTGGGTTTCCCCAGCATGGTCTTGACCCCTTTGCTCAATACTTCTCCCTGTCTACCACTGATTTTCAGGAGTAGCCTACAATCCACAGGCCCAGAGAAGCTAGGAAACAAAGAGAACCCCAAGAGAGACATACGAGGACCCCCGAGGAGGGGAACAGGACAAGATCTCCTGAGTAAATTGGGAGCATGGGAGCGGGGGAAAAGGAGGTAGGAGAAAAACGAGGGGGAAAGGGGGAACGGAGGAGAAAATGAGAGATCAGGAAGGTCGAGTTGGGGGAAGAACAGAGGAGAGCAAGGAAAGAGATATCTTACTAGAGGGAGTCTGTATGGGCTTAACAAGAAATCTGGCATTAGGAAGATCTCCGGGGATCCACATGGATGAGGCCAACTAAGAATCTAAGGCAGTGAGGTGCACTCTCACCCTGAACTCTTGGGGAAGGGTCTAGGCCCTGCCCTATATGAAATGATTACAGACTATGGACACCCCCATGGAGGGCCTCACCCTCCCTGGGGGAATGAGGGGATAACGGGGGGGGGGGTTGGGGGAGGGCACGGGAGGAGGGGAGGGAATGGGAGAGGGACCTGGAACTCACTTGTGAAGCAACCTCGTTTCTTATCTAAATTTAAACTGGAAAATAAAATATAAAAAAAGAGTCTAAGGCAATAGTGGAGAGGCTACCTTAAATGTCCTTCCCCTATAATGAGATTGATGACTACCTTAAATGCCATCCTAGAGCCTTCATCCAGTAGCTGACGCAAGCAGAAGCAGAGATTCACAACTAAGCACTGAACCGAAGATCAGATTATTCTGTGTGTAACTCTGTGTAGGATATTCTTAATTACCTCAATTAAACAGGGTGGACCCAGCCCATAGTGGGTGGCACCATTCCTAGGCAGTGGATCCTGGGGTGTGTCACAGTGAGATGTCTTCCTGGGGACATCACCTCCAACTGGTAACAGGATTCCAGTCTTAACTTCCTCCCAGGATATCATTTCTTTGGAAAATTGAAATTTCTTGGGGCCCATTGTTTCAGTAGTTTGATAGCCAGGGGAGAGCATATTGTGTCTCTTTTCATATTTGCATTACTCTGAGGACTGTTACACTAGGACACTGCCATTGAGATACCAGAACCATAAACCATTCACTGCATGCATTAGCTTTTGCTTCAAGTGATTGGCACATTTGTTAGTTGTTTCACCAAAATGTCTGACTTTTTTTGTATTTTATTCAGGCAGGTTGTGCACCTAAAAAGTGGGTGGCATCAACATGGAGTTGGTGCTTCCACTGTTGGCTGGAACAATGAAGTCTCTGTGAAACTCAGGCAATGGGGGAACTCTGGAAGAGCACTATGGCTGTCCTCACCGCCTGAACTACAGAATTCTCCAGGTTTGCTGTGCTAGAGTTCAGAGAGGAGGCCTGAGATGGGCCTGGGAAAAAAGATTTTATTTTTTAAAACATGTGCATGTACATACCTGTAATCACAAACATATGTAGCTGTATGAACACACACACTCATACATTGCATGTGCATGCATACATGCATCTGTAAGTACACACACACCTGCGTTTACACACACACACACACATGCACCTGTTGCTCACACACATATCTGCATGTACCCACTCATGCAAAGTGACTAATAATGGCAGGTACTAAATAAACATAATCAGTGATGATTCAACCCTGTCAGTCATCAGAAATTACTGACTGAGGACATCAACAAAGCTGGAGCAGAAAACCCTGGGGACAGTGTTTTGTGGAGGCTGTGGCCGCCTATAGTTAGCTGACCCCTTAGTGCATGATGTGTAATGAAGTAGCTTCATGACAAGCTACCGGCTTTGCTCACCGCACCCCTACAATATGATCACATCACATCAGGGTGACCAAATTGGCTGCTCCCCAAACCTTCTGAGATGGCTAGTCTTGAATGTTATCTCTGGGACGTAGGATCAGTACAGTATCCACTCTTCAGTTGAGGGGCATCTAGGTTGTTTCCAGTTTCTGACTATTACAAATAGTGCTGCTAGAAACGTAGTGGAACAGACATCCTTGTTGTATGAATGGGCATCTTTTGGGTATATGCCTAAGAGGGGAACTGCTGGGTCTTGTTTCTTAAGTTGATTTTTGTCAGGTATTTTGTGGCAGCGCTGCAGAAATCACCTAGCACAGCTCCATAGCCCTCCCTAAATTCATGGAAAGTCCTTCAGGGTCAGGCGCTCAACACCTCCCTCCGGCCTCTTTCCGGGGCTGGTACCCACTTCCCTTTTTCTCTTTCTGAGTTCAGACTGAGAGAGTGAGGAACAGATGCGTGGAAAATAAAAGCTGACATTGCTGACAGTCAAGGGCACTGAGGGACAGCGGCAATGAGGAGCGACACCATGGAAGCAGACAAGAAACAGCAGCCAGGCCTCCTAGGTGAGGCGGGGAAGGGGCTTGGTCGGTGGGCGGCAGCTTGAGTCTCAGAGAGTTCACCTCTGGCCTTCACACACACACACACACACACACACACACACACACACACACACACACACACACACACACTGGAGAGTCTCTCTCTCTTTCTCTCTCTCTCTCTCTCTCTCGTGTGTGTGTGTGTGTGTGTGTGTGTGTGTGTGTGTGTGTGTGTGTGTGTTCATTAGCTGCAGAGACAAGCCTGGGTCAGGAGCCAAGAAGAGGCAGAAGTCTCTTGAAGAGTCCTGGATCCTGGAGAAGTAGAGATTTCTCTGGGTTCCTGGAATCTAAAGGCTCAGGCCTAGAGACTTGACCCTGGTCTCCAGAGCTCCAGGAAGGTAAAGTCTGGACCCCTGATTGCTGTTTTCTGGGACAGAGGCAAGTGTCAGCCTTGTTGTGAAACACCTCCCTCCCCCACAGGGTGGCTGAGCCATGGCCAAGGCCTCCTGGTGCTGCATCTGTTCTCCATTGTGCTCCTGACTGGGCTGCTGGTAGCTGTTCTTGTTCAAGGTCAGGCAGGAGCTGGGGTTTACAGCTCTGGGTCTGGCCCACTGGCTGTGGCAGCCAGATCTGGGAGTGAAGTGGCGGTGTGGGGGGGATGTTAATGGGTCATACTGCTGCCTCCTGGGACTTGCCCATACTGCAGCAGAAGAGGGGGTAGATAAGGGTAGCAGGAAGGGCCTGGCTCCATTTCTTGTGGTTCCATCATCTCTATGTGTCATTTTCTTCTCTTTAAATGCAATAAAAGATACTATGGATGTACATCCAGTAACTGATGGAAGCAGATGCAGTGCCCCACAGCCAGGCACTGGACTGGGATCCTGGTGTTCAGCTGAAGAGAGGGAGGAGGATCATATAAACAAGGGGGAGGGTCAGGACCATGATGGGGAAAGCCACAGAGACAGCTGACCCAAGCTAGTGGGAGCTCAATGACCATGGACTGATAGGTTGGACTGAACTACACCCTCTGAATGTGGGTGACAGTCATGTGACTTGATCAGTCCCGTGGCAGTGGGACCAGGACCTGTCCTGGGTGCATGAACTGGCTTTTTGGAGCCCACTACCTATGTTGGTTTACCTTGTTCAGCCTTGATGGGGGAAGGGGCATGTGGTCCTGCCTCAACTTGGTATGCCAGACTTTGTTGACTCCCCCAAAGAAAGTCTTACCCCCTCTGAGGAGTGGAAGGGGATGGGAAGGGAGGCAGGAGGAGGAAGGGGGAACTGAAATGTAAATGAAATAAATTTTTAAAGAAAAAATTCTGCTGCAGGAATACAGTGCGGGCCATAGCACACAATAAGTATTTTCACAATTGTAGTTTCTGGATTCTTTTGGTGCAGGTCCCAGCTCCCTGGGAAATGAGGAAATCTACAAGCAACTGACACAGCTGAAGCGTGGCGTGGGTAAGTGACCAGAGATCAGACCTCCAAGGATATGAGAAGTCTCCTTAGCGCACACTGTTTGAGGCATTGACCGGCTCCAGGGCTCAGTTTCCACTCCTGTGTGGACTTAAGTCTCAGGGGGTAAAGTGCTTGCCATGCAGAATCTGAGCTTGAGCCACAGAACCTATGTTTGTAAGTAAGGAGGCATGGGGATGCGTGTTTCTACTTGCAGCACTGGGGAAACGGACGCTGGTGGAATCCTCAGACCCACTGCCAGGCAGCTCAGAGCACTTATGCACCTTTGCACACACAAACGTATATTACACACAATAAGCAAACAAATTAATTAATAGGAACACAGGGCAGCAGCCAGGGAATGATTTTGTGGTCTCAGGGGATGACACACACAGTAGGCACAGTCAGTGTTCACAGAGGTGGCGTGCATCAGCAGCACTCAGTGTTTCCAGGGCTGTGCACACAGTAGGTACTCAGTGTTCACAGAGGTGGCACACATTGGCAGCACTCAATGATCCAAGGACTGTGCACATAGTAGGTACTCAGTAGTCACAGAGGTCACACACATCAGCAATACACAGTGTTCCCAGGGCTGTGTGCACAGTAGGTACTCGGCGTTCACATTGGCCACGGGCACAGTAGTCGAGACAGTCTCCTGGGCTCTGCCTCTACTTCCCCCAGAATGCAGTGTCAAGGGAGGGAGGGCCGTGACCCTGGAGGGCTGCAGCAGATGCAGGATCATGGGCATCTAAGCGTGGGTCCCTCCTGATCCACCTCCCCCAATAGACAGCCTCTGTCGTCCTTGTCCCTGGGAATGGACACTCTTCCATGGGAAGTGTTACTTCTTCTCCAAGTCCCAGCGTAACTGGAACGATTCCTACACTGCCTGCCAGGAAGTGGAGGCTCAGCTAATCATCATTGACAGTGACGAAGAATATGTAAGCCGGACGGGCCCCCTCACCCCGGGACAGGGCACACTGTCCTTGCGTGGTACACTGGATGGGGATGGGCCCCCTCATCCTGGGACAGGGCACACTGTCTGTGCGTGGTACACCGGACAGGCCCCCTCACCTCGGGACAGGGCACACTGTCTGTGCGTGGTACACTGGATGGGGATGGGCCCCCTCATCCTGGGACAGGGCACACTGTCTGTGCGTGGTACACTGGATGGGCCCCCTCACCCCAGGACAGGGAGAGGTGGGAATGAGCTCCCAGCACCTGCTGATGGACACACCAAGTCTGAACACACGTGAATTCTTCTGGGTGCTTCATGCGCCATGGTTTCTCTTACTACTGCTGTGCTAATGGGGGCTGGAGGGATGGCCCAGTGCTTAAGAGTACCTGGTGCTCTTATGAGGACCCCGGTTCAGTTTCTAGCCATCCACAACCGCCTGTAATGGGTTTTCTCACTTCAGTTTGTGTACGTAACACCCAACAGTGTCCTAGGAGGCCTGTCTCCTAGGTGAATCTCTGCTCTGTGAGGTTGACAATTAAAACTATCACACTGTCCCAGCTGGCAAGCTAGCCAGGAGACAGGAAATTGTTCCCTGGGTGGAAAAGCATCCAAGTGTACACTTTCTGTCAGTTTCTCTGGTGTAAATTATGCAAGTGTGTACTCATGGGGCATCATTGACAGAGAGATAGAAGTGCTACCGCCCTGAGCAATTAAACCTTTGAGTTTCTGTGGGCATGCCCATCACCGATACTGGCTACGCTTTCAGAAACACGTGTGCAGACTCCAGCTGTGCACAAACTGCATGTCAGACTTCATTTGCCTGCAAGATACGGGAGTGGGAGGGACTCAGACTCTGGAGCGTGTGTCGGGGGATGCTCTCGGGCGTGGAGTCGATGCTGGCGAGCCACGGGGTGTGGCACATGGGGAATGAAACAGACACCCTCTTGACTTCCCTCCTTCCCTTCCAGTCGTTCCTGAATGTGATTTCTAAGAATAAAGGATCCGCCTGGCTGGGTCTCTCTGACCTGAAAAAAGAAGGCACTTGGCAGTGGGTAGACGGCTCGCTTATGGATCACAGGTAGCCTTGGGAGCATGGAGCATCACAGAGTGGGATGAGACCGTGAACCTGACCCCAACTGTCCTCCGGTTCCTTGTCACTCCATCTCTCCCTCAGGGTTAAGTGTCCATGATATTCATTGAGTGGGGGGGGGCTTCTTCATATCCATATTGGTGGGCCCTTTAAATTCCACAGAGTGGCAGGAGCAGTTTGCAATTTGTTATTAAGCATAGTGCATCAAATAACTGGGGAGGGAGAAACCTCAGCCAGTAAAGTGTTGGCTTTGCAAGAATGAGAACCTGAGTTTCATTCCCAGAACCTTCTTTAAAAAAAAAAAGCTGGTGTCATATAATGCCAGCAGGGTTACTGGAGAATGAGGATGATTGGTCATGAGGCAAAAAGTGAAGGAGATGCTATCAAGAGACTCTGGGAAAAGTGCTCACCACACAATTATGAGATCTCCAGCACCACGTTAAGTTAACTGGTATGGTGATATGTACCCATAGGACTAGTGCTACAGAGGCCAAGACAGAGCAGTTCCTAGAGCCTATTGGTCAGAGTTTAGCTTCCTTGGAGACCTTCAGGCTCAGTGAGAGATCTTTTCTTTAAAAATATAAGGTGGAGGTGCTCATTCGGTAAAGTGCATGCTGCACAAGCATGAGGGCTGGGTGTGGTCCCCAGCACCCACAAAAAAACCAAAACCAACCCTGAAGCGATAGCAAGCATCTGCTACCCTGGAGAACAGAGGCAGATGGATCCCTGGAGATCATCAACTAGCTCACCAGACCAGGCAATCAGTGACCTCGGGCTCAGCAAGGGATCATGGGCATCCAGATGTGGTGGCACACACCTTTAATTCCTGCACTCTCGGCAGAGGCAGGCAGATCTGTGAGTGTGAGGCCAGCGTGATCTACACAGAGAGTTCCAGAACAGCCGGGACTACACAGAGAAATCCTATTTCAAAATAAAGATAGAAAGAAAGAAGTGATGAATAACTAAGGACGACACCCTATGTGACTTCTGTCCCCCACATGCACACTTACATACTGTGTTCACACAATCATGCAAACATATATGCACAGATCACTCAAAACTGACACACACACACACTTATTAAAGTGCAATAAAACATATCGTGGACAGTGACAGAGGAAGATACCAGGCATCAATCTCTGGATTCATGCATGTACACACAAATGCACATGCATCTCACATACCCATATATACCCATGCACACACGTGAACATGTCCACATACTTCACAAACAAACTCACACCCATGATAGTGTGAGCCTGTCCTTCAGCTATGTTCTGTGACACACATTATGGACATCCCTTACACAGAAGCCACTAACTGGTGTGGACAGAAGTTTCTGTCCTGTACGGTCCCCCCACCCCACCAACTGGCTTAAAAGAGATGGTCCTTCTTATGTTCTTATCTCTGCTTCACTTATTTCTTCCTGAGGTAAACCTCAGTAAGATCTCTCTCTCCCTCCCTCCCTCCCCCTCCCTCCGTCCCTCCCTCCCTCTCTCTCACTCTGTGTGTGTGTGTGTGTGTGAGTGATGTGTGTGATGTGTGGTATATGTGCATATTTGTTTGTGTGCACACCTTCATGTGTGTGAGTGAGGGCGTGTGTGTACCATGCTGGCCAGAGAACCACCTCAGACGTTGGTTCTTGTTTTCCATCTCCTCTGAGGCAGGGTCACTCGCTGTTCTCTTCCGTGTGCTCCAGGCTATCTGGTTCACATGCTTCATGCTTCCATAGGTTCTCCTCCCCTGCCTGACGTCTCACTTGGATTACAGATGAGCACTCCCATGCCATGCTTTACTTGGGTACCAGAGATTTGAACTCAGGTCCTCACATTTGCACAATGAGCAAGCACTTAACCCCCTGAGCTATCTCTCCAGCTCCTCTCATGGGTTTTTACAGCTTCACGAAGTATCAGATGGGAAGGCCAAGTAAGAGTATGGAAGCAGAACTCTGTGCAGAAGTCACAGATGGACTCTGGACCACTGGCAGATGTGCACATAAGAAATTTTGGATCTGTGAGAAGCCTGAAGCCCCCTGTCCGGCAAGTAAAGTCTGATCTTTCGGCAGTCCCTGAAGCTGGATATCCCTGGTAGAAAGCAGCAATTTATCCACGTGGTGAGATTTGAACCTCTGGGGCGCTTCTGTGTCAAAGGCCTTATACCCTATGGCAGTGCTTCTCAACCTTCCTAATGCTGTGACCCTTTAATATATTCCCTCATGTTGTGCTGACCCCCCAAACAAAGCTATTTCCTTGCAACTTCGTAACTGCAATTTTGTCACTTTTCTGAATCATAATGTAAATATCTAATATGCAGGACATATGATATGCAGCCCCCTTCGGGAATCATGACACACACACAGGTTGAGAACCATGGATCCGTGGAATTGAATCATTTATATTCTCCCTCCAATGTTTCCATATATTGTGCCACAATTTCCTCCACTGAAACGTGGTACCCTAGAAGGTAGCTCATTGAGACATGGGAGATCTTTGGGGTACATAGGTGATTTAGCAGTTAAGTGCACTTGTTGCTCTTGCAGAAGACAGGGGCTCGTGGAGAGATTAATCATCAGTTCAGAGTTCTTGTGGCTCTTTCAGAGGACAGAAGTCTGGTTCTCTGCACCCAAATTGAATGGTTCACAGCCACCTGTAGCTCCATCTCCAGGGGATCTGGCATCCTCCTAAGGGTTTTGTGGGTACCTGTACTCAGGTGCACATGTCTACACACAGACACATATATACACATGATTAAAAATAAACATAAAATATTTTTATAAAAAGACACAGGAAGTTCTATATTTAGTCTCATTTAAACTCAGGAGGAAAATGCACAAGACTCAGGAACTCCCTGAAACTTAGCAGATTCACAAGGGGTCTCCCTCCATAAAGTTACATATAACAAGCAGTAAGAGTGCCTTGGAGAGAGACTTTCTGATCTGTGCAGTTGCTTACATGTCACAGATTTCATGAATCATCGTTTGTGTGATAGCACAGCAGTCTCTAAGTCATCCCTGTTCACGTATGTAAACCTTCATACCACTGTGCATAACCCCAATAAACTCTTTGGTTCACAAAGTAGGCTCCAGGGATGTCCTTGCTTTGGTCTGCTGTCTGTTCTGCTTTCAAGGTGTTACATGGCATCAAGTTCTCCCTGGCTCTGAGGTTGTGTTTGTGAGACATCTTTGCATTTTATGTGGGGTGCATTCAATAGCTGGGCATGTTCTATTCTACTGTCTCCTTCTTGAAATGACAGAGAGTTTGAAATCCATGTCTATCCAATTTTTCCCAGGGCTCTATCCCACCCCCACACACTTTCTGTATCAGTTATTTGTCTTGTTGCTGCAGCAGAACACCTGAGAAGATAAACCAGAGGGATGAAGGGCTGATCGTTGGCCCACAATGTGAGGGTAACCCATCATGGTAGGAAGGCATGGCAGCAGGGGCGAGGCACCTGTAGCACTGCATCCACAGTCAGAAGGCAGAAAGGGATGCATGTCTCACATGCTCGGCTCACTGTGTGTCTCATTTGGTCTAGGATCCAAGTTGATAGAATGGCACACTATATACATCTAGCATGCATCTTCCCATCTCAGTTCACCTATCTAAATAATCCCTCAAAGACATGCCTAAAAGCCCGTTTCCATGGTGACTCTAAGTCGGGTTGACAGCCAAGATTAACCACCACAGATTCCTCCCATATGCCCAGCTTCCTGTGCAACCCTGTTCCTGGGGACATGCCTTGGTTGTCATAGATCCTGTAGTAGACTGGAGGAACCTAAGGATTACATTTGATAGTTTATCAGTACTCGTCTTGAATGGTATACATATTCTTCACATCCAGTATCTTCTGGTGAGAACCTGAGGTGACCCTTTTAAAATGACACATCACTCTAGCTCTGGGTGTCCTGTTGGAGGCCCTGTTGCTGTCCATTCCCTTACTGCCTCAGCACTGTCCAGGGGTACTGTCTTCTCCAAAGTCAGACTTTTTTCTGTTCACTTCTGTGGGGTGTGGGCCAAGGAAGTTCTGGCCATGTTGAACCAATGTGGGTTTGACTCTGGGGCTGGAAATACAATTCAGTGGCAAGGTGCCTCCTAGCATATGTGAGACATCAAATTTAAATATCAGTCCCCCCTAAAAACCCACAGAGGACTCTGAAAGCAATCTAGGGTATAGAGACCCCTGTGTAAGACTCTGAAATTGTTCCACTGCCCAAATATGCTCCAATATAACCATTGTCTAGATTACTGAATAATAATTATGTCTCTTTCTATTCATATTAGACAACATTTGTATGCCTTAATTTATGATACTGAGGTGATTTTAGATGGAGGAAGGGAACTTCAGGACACGGGTGGTTGTGAGAAACCACTTATGTCAGTAAAAGTTGGAAATTTTATTCTTACTGATTTCTAAAGTGGAGTTGGACTTTGCATGTTTAAAAAATATTTAACAATGAGCTTTAAAGAGTTTCAAGGGTGTGGCTTGGAATATGACTCAGAGAGTAAAGTGCCTGTCTTGCCAATATAGAGACTTGAAATTGGCTAATTCAGACTGAACATGAGGACCCTGCAGTAAAATGAATCTCACTCCCTCTCTGAACTGCTTTAGTTACTCACTTGCAAAAATCGCATAGACTTTGTGGGTATTTTGCTGAACTTTAAACATTTTGCGTATATGTGCACAGGTGTGTGCTTGTTCATATATATATATGTATATGTATACATATATATATATGCATGCATGTTACATACAACCAACAATACGAACACACACACACACACACACACACACACACATATACACTCTCCTTCCAATCACAGAACATGTTCCTCCCTTAGAGGGACATAAAACAAACCTCAAAAATTTTTAAATCTCCATGTGTATAGGTAACATGTACATATGTTCATATGCATGTGGAGGCCAGAGGAAAACCTTGGGAGCCATCCAGCTTGTGCTTTGAGACAGAGCCTTTCATTGGCCTGCAGTTTGCCAGTTAGGATAGGCTGGCCAAACAGTGAGCCACTTAGTGGAGAAAGGGTTTATTTTGGCATCATTGGTGATAGTTGCTTGGGAGGAAGCCAGGGCTGGAGAATGGCTCAGTGACTGAGAGTGCTTGCTGCTCAACCATGAGGACCAGGGTTTGAATTCCAGTATCTATATCAGGCAACATATGAACATCTGTAACTCCAGCTCTATGGCCTGTGTGGGCATCTACACCGCACACACACACACACACACACACACACACACACACACACCTGTGCACATACACTCATGCAGACACAGACACATGTGCACAGACATACACATTAATAAAATAAAATCTTTGTTTAAAAAGATAGATGGGAATCTGCTCTCAGGTCCAGCCAGCCGGACTCACCCTGTGCTCTCCTCCAGCCTGATGACTTCCGTCTTATCCCTGGGTCTCCTGAACTCATCCCAATCCTCACACAAGCCCAGATCCTAATCCCACAGCTCCCGTTATGTCTGAGGAGGCCTGATCATTCTTTCTCACCCTCAAAATTTGGATCAGAATGTAGACTGGGTGTGCTATTCAAACCCCTCTGATGCCACACCTTATTCTGTCATTCCCCAGCCCTCCAGCTCCAGCCAAGCAACTGCACCCTGTGATCTTTTCCAGGCTAATGAATCTTCCTTCTTATCCCTAAGATCCCTGAAATCACCCCAATACTCAGAACCATGGACACATACCTAGTGCTCTTTCCTGGCAGAAGTCATGTGACTTCTTCAGGGGACAAGGCCTGAGAATAGCATGAACCAACATTCATTGTGGCAAGGCTCTGGAGAACCTGACCCATTTTGGCAAAGCTTGTGGACAGTTCGCTGCATAACTCTGGGCATGACCCTAGGAGCATATGTGCTACCAACTCTCCTTGCTTTTGTTATACAAGCCATATTGCTGGCTGCCTCTAGTTTCAGTTTCTCAGAGTTATGAATAAAACAATTATTACAAAAGGAAAACTTCCCCCGATGTTTCTCCTCTAGGTGAGCCAGAGGGGGTGTTGTTAAATATATATATATATATATATATGTGTGTGTGTGTGTGTGTATATATATATATATATATATATATATATATATATATATATATCGTGGCACCAGGTGGTGATGGCGCACGCCTTTAATCCCAGCGCTCATCGGGCAGAGGCAGGCAAATCTCTGTGAGTTCAAGCCAGCCTGATCTACAGAGTACCAGGACAAGCTACAAAGCTACACAGAGAAGCCCTGTCTTGAAAAACAAAACAACAATCAGTGAACCTAATTCACTTCCTAAAGCCTTTGATGTTTCACGAGTCACCATGAATTCAGGCTACTTAAGAACAGGGTGTTTGCCTCTGCTTCCATCAGTCACAGGATGGAGGCTCCCGGATGGTTATAGATATCAAGTTCATTATCAGGAATGGGCATTCGAGGTGGTCTCTCCACTATTGCTTAGCTTGCCAATTGGTGTTATCGAGGTCCTGGACCCTACCCAGAGTAAAATGACAGACTCTAGATATCTCCTATATGGAAGGATTTGGCAATAGGGTGGGAGGGTGGGGGGAAGGGGAGTGCGGGAGGAGGGGAGGGAGAGGGAACTGGGATTGACATGTAAAACAAGCTATTTAAAATTAAAATAAAAATGATAAAAAAGAACAGGATGTTGCCTTTCTGATGTATCCTGTGACTAGCCTGAAAGAGTCACAGTAGTTCATGATAATATTACAAATCTCCTAACTCTTCTGGAGAGAATGACTTTGGCAGGAGGATCTGGAGTTCTAGGGCCGCCTGACCGTTCCTTATAGCTTTAATGCATTTTTGATCAGTAAGACACCCGCGAACTAACGTCCAAACGGGCCGAACCCCAGGAGCAAGGACACCGTGCTCCGCAGCAACATCTAAATCTTGGCCTAATTTCTTCCATGACGAGAGTGTCAAGCTGCCAGATACGGCAAACCAGGGTGCAACAGTGTCACACTCCGTCCGCTTTGACGCTCTACTACTTTCATTTTTATCCTGTCCGCTTTGACGCGGCTCTGCTGCTTTGCCTTTTGTCCCGTCCGCTTTGACGCGGCTCTGCTGCTTTGCTTTCCCGTCCGCTTTGACACGGCTCTGCTGACCGTTCTCCCCTTCTCTACGGGTGAGAACAATAATCCCGCTCTTTTTGCGGATCCCCGCCTTACCTGGGGACTTACTGGTGCACCCCCTGACTGCTGTGAGTTCTGAATTCCTTTCTTCGTACGAGCGTCCCCGTACGGGCCACCAACTGTCACGACCACCTCGACCTGCAAGGAAGACGCGACTCAGGAATCCTTCTCATCAGCGGTTTATTCAGGAACCTTGAAACAACGTAGAGGCAGCCACGGGAAAAACCCCTCCTGCTCCCTAAATAGCCGAGGCCAGCCAACCCTGAGCAGCCACGTGTGTGCAAGCCATAGGCTCATCAGAATGCATAAGCAATCTGATGATGATGGCGTGACCCCGGCGGGATGGAAGCAGGCCAAATAAGGAGTTGTTTATTTCCGAGCGCACTCACCATCGGGATGGTGGAATGCGGAAGCCGGCGCCATCTTTGAGGCGCGGTGTGGCGCAGCTCTCCACAGTTCCCCCTTTTTGTTTTTATATAACAAAGGTGGGTGAAGATAGAGGCCCGATCCCTGGTGTGCAAAGCTGGGATAATGTACAGGTGACACCTACAGACTCTACGCCTGTGGTGACCCTGACCCATCCTGTACCTGTTTTCCCAGGGGAAGGATCTTGGGTACAACCTTCCTGCAATCGGGCTTGTCTTCCGAGGGTAGCTTAACTGCTTACAAGCAAACCCTCGTGCAGTGCTTAGCCTTGCACCCCGACCGGAGAAAATTAGTTTTTAAAGGTAGCCAGCCAGGCTGAGGGGGACTGACCTTCTTCAATGGTAGCGAATGCTTGCATGACCATCATTGCATTACAGCGCTGATTAGACTGAGCATTACAGAAGCACCACAGGCATACCAGGGAGGCTATGGCCATCAGGCCAAGTAGGGACCCTATCCCCGCCCACTCCTTTAAGTGATCCATGGTGGCCCTGATCCAG